GACGTACGCGTGCGTGTTTGTTCGTCTTCTTCACCATCCTGCTCCTGGCCTTCTCCATCTTCATCGTCCCCAATGACGACTGCATCGTTGTCATTGTCCCCTTCGACATCCATCCCACCACTCGCGGCGCTGCTCAACTGCTTGTCCACAAACCGCTCCAGCCGAAACCCAGCCATGCTGCAAAACACACACATACACACACACGCACACACACACACACGCATACACGTACACACACATACACGCACACACACGCACACACACGCACACACGCACACACACACACACGCACGAATAGGAATGACAGAGACCCAAGTGCCCGTGAGTGAGCGTGATGCAGGAGAAGATAGATCCAAGCAGACGCGCGCATGCGCATCTCAAAGCGGAACTCACTTGCGCAAAGCCTCGTTCTCGTCCTTGTCCACGAACAAGCTGAGGGCTTCTCGGAAGTGGCGAGGGCGAATGAGGCGTGGAGGGTCGGTGCTCTGCACAAACGTCTGCTCAACAAGATCCTCAATCTTGTCCCTGTTGGACACAAGGATGTGTGTATTACGGATGTGTGTGTGTTTGTGTGAGGAGGGAAGTGTGAAGAGAGTGTGTGAGTGAGTATGTGTGTATGTGTGTGTGTGTGTGCATGAGATGGCCGTATGGGATCAACGCGACACGACATGCACGCACACACGCACGCACGCACGCACGCACGCACACACACACACACACACACACACACACACACACACACACACACACACACACACACACACACACACACAAACATGAACAAGCCCGAGCAAACGCACTGTTCGAGTGGATCGGGCGGTGTCGGGGCGGCAGCATCCTGTTGCGCTTTTGATTTGGCTGCCATTGTGGTCAACACATGCAGGGCAGCACATAAGATTTGAGATCACGCAGCACAAACTGTCTCGTACTGCATGCATGCACACACACAGTCTCTCTCTCTCTCTCTCTCTCTCTCTCTCTCTCTCTCTCTCTCTCTCTCTCTCTCTCTCTCTCTCTCTCTCTCTCTCTCTCGCACACACTCACACAACATGTCTCGACAAGGATGCCATCCCTCAACACACGGTCTCGGGCTGTGTGTATTCTTCTTGCGCGCGTTGCAAAGACAGTAACAACGTACGCTTTGATGTTCGCTTTCTGTAGAAGAGAAGAATGTCCTTGGGATTTGCCACTTTCTGTGTGTGTGTGTGTGTGTGTGTTTGGGGCAATGAGTTCGCAACGGCTCAGAAGCAATACAACCGCTTGAAACATGACGGTGTCAATGACGCAAGGCCCACAAAAAGCAACCCCCCCCTCTCTCTCTCTCTCCAAAGCAAACGAAATACACCCCTCGTAAAACGCAGGCGTGCAGCTGAACATGTGTGACATCGCCAACCAGCGACCATCGCAGTCACTCACCCCCGCGAACCGCTGGCCAAAGCGCTGTGCACCCAGCGTGGGGAACCCCGTGTACTCCACGCGCAGACGCAGCAGCGGCAGTCGCATCTGCTTGCGGGCCTCTGCGTCGTCACGATAGCGCGCGCGGTGTTCAGAGTCGAGTGCCCGCAGTAATGTCTCTACCTCCGCCGCCAAGAACTCGCCCACGTCGCGCTCCGTTGCGCCCGCAGGCAGGTGCTCCGCCAGCACCAGCTGCATCGCAAGGTGTGTGTGTGTGTGTGTGTGTGTGTGTGTGTGTGTGTGTGTGTGTGTGTGTGTGTGAGCTTACGTAGAAGCAGACAAACGACCGAGTGACTCCAAAGAGTGCTGTTGCACGTGGCTGTCGCTCAGGTGTGGTATCAAGACGTTACAGAGGTACTCACGTCGCGAAACTTAAAGGCCCTCACAGTCTTGAGCGGCACTTTTGTGATGCGAAACGACTTGTCTGCTCGAATATACAGCATGCCCACGTGTCTAAAGCAGCAAACATGACAGCGTGACACCATGAGCGTGAAACCCAATGCACAGCATCTATTCATTACAACAGACAAGCCTGAGCATCATGGCAACACGATCCAAGGCGCCAAACAAGGCCAGCAGTGCCCGCATCTGGGTGTTTGATGTGTATGCGTATGGGTATATGCGCGTATATGCGCGTGTATGTGCGCGTATGTGCGTGTATGTGCGTGTGCATATGTGTGTGTGTACTCACTTGTGTACAGATTCGCCCTCGCTGAGGGAGGTGGCGACGCTTGATCCCGGTTGCGTAATGTATGTGTTGATGACATCACGGGGCGTGGGGTCAATCTCGCACTTGTGCTCGTGGCCCCAAAAGGTGAGGTGGACAAAGTCGGGCAGAAACGTCTCGGGAATGTAGTTTCGCTCGCCGTGCTTCACCCTGAATGCCCACGCACGCATATCGGAGGCGTGTTATGCATCTGACACCCGCAAACATCCATGCACGTACAAGGGAACTGATTCGCACACGCACACGCGTGCACACGCGTGCACACATGCACACGCATATATGCACGTACAAGCACACGCACACACGTACACACATGCACGTACAAGCACACGCACACATGCACATACACATACATACATGCACGCGCACACACGCGACAGCGCACCTGTTTTGGTGGATGACAAAGAGGTTGAACCAGTCATCAGTATCCTCGTCGGGGGCGAGCCACTTGACCTTCTTCTTGAGAAAGGTGCGGTGCAGGCGCTCATCACGAATGTTGCCCAGCCCGTACAGCGCCAGCTTGGTCGAGCCTGGGGTGTGTCATGTCATACAGCGGGAAGGAAAACGCATTCGAACGCACATTAGCAAACATAGATTCACACACAAACACACACACACACCATCACGTGTCACGCGCACATGTACACGCCCACGTGTGAGCAATGCATGCGCCACTGAGCAACGCGAAGCACTGCAATTGTACCTTTCTGGATGCAGATGGGCACGAGCTCAATGTCGTCGGGCTGCTGCGCCTGGCCGAAGTAGTTGACAAAGTTGGCTGCAGCCAGCAGGTCCAAGGCACACAGCGCTTGTTCCTGTGGGGAAGAAAGGTAGCGTGCAAGCATGAACGTGTGGGCATGTCGTTGAAGCGGCGGCAAGGACGCAGGAAACGTGGAAACATAGAAGGAGAGAGATGACCGCTGTCATATGGCTCACACGAAATACATGCACACAGCACAAGCACAAATTCGCGCCAAAATGCACGCACAAGCACAAGCACAAGCGCGCGCGCACACACACACACACACACAAGCACAAGCACACGCAAAACCGCACACAAGCACACATAAGCACACACACACACACACACACACACACACACACACGCAAAACCGCACACAAGCACATACACACACAGCCCAAGTCGCACGCCGCATGTCAAACAACGTACGCCAGATGGATCGTCGTGGTTGCCGTGAATGGAGAAGACAGGCATGCCCACGTTATAGTTCGGGTCCATGTAGTTTGCCTTGCCGAACCTGTGCACCAGTGTAACGCAAGGTGATGGGCTTTTGGGCGGGTGGTTCAAGAAGCATTGATGGTGCAGACGCGCAAGCTGTATCGTGACGCAGTGGTAGCACAACGCTGCGCTCAGTGCTCTTTTGCGCCAAAAGCAACGCACCTTGGGAAGTTGATGCGCTGGTCACTCAGGATTTGAAGTGCGCAGGGTCTGGAGCCCATGCAGTACTTGCGAAAGAGCTCCATGGTGTGCATGAGGGTTTCCCTTGATGGCTTGTTCTCGTGAAACAAGTCACCACCAAGTAAGATCATGTCCGCCTTCAGTGAAGGACAACATGCAGCACGTGCAGTGAGAGCAGGAGGGAGCGCATGCGTGCATGTGCATGTGTGTGTGGGAGGGGGGGACGCGCGTGAGGTGGGGGTGTCGTTCACAAACACGACATACCACACACACACACACACACACACACACAACATACCACACACACACACAACATACCACACACACACACACACATACAACACACACACAACACACACACAGCACACACAGCACGCACAGCACACACGCGTACGTTTTCACGGTTGGCAATCTGAAGTATTTCTTCAAAGGTGCGCATGCTGTCCTGGCCTCGAATGGGGTCCCGCTCCAGGTACCCAAGGTGGCAATCTGTGGCAAGGAGGATCCTCATCATGTTCGCGCTGCTCGTACTGGCGCCCGCAGTACTGGCGCCAGCTGTGTCCGCCATGCTCGCGCTGCCACTGCTGTTGCTCTGCTGATGATGTGACAACGCTACAACAACACAGCGAGCCAGCCGCCAACAAACACTTGCGTGCACACGTCAACGCCGCGTGCTCGCTGCACCACCCCTGTCTTCTCGTCTTCCTTGGGCACTGTTGCCTGCTGCCGTCGCCGCCGTCGTCGCTGTCTCGTGTGAACAGATGCGCGCGAACAACACTGCCACCACTTGCGCTTGTTGCTTGCTGCTTGGTTTGTCCTCTGCTGTTCTTCTCTTCTCTTCTTCTCCCGCCAAACGTTTAAACAAGGTTGAACTTGTTTTGTAATAACTGAATTCAGTCATCTGCATTCGGTTTATTTTTGCCCTCCTGCTGAGTCATCAATGGTCTTGCTTGCTTGCTTGACAAGACGCGCTCTCCTTGCTCCTTCACTTACTTGACCACCAGCCATCCAACCATCCAACCAGACCAGCACAGCCACACGGCCTACCACACCAACACAGCCCGGCAAAGAAGCAAGAATGGCCGACACCAGCAGCAAGCATCGCAAGCGTCGTGTGAGCGACAAGTCCTCTGACGAAGACACCGACGGAGAATTTGAAGACGAGAACGGCGCCACCCAGATCAACATGGACCAGCAGCAGCAGCAGCAGCAGGAGGCTGGCGGGGATGCCAACGTCGTGGAGCTGGAGCACGAGGTGGACCTCGCCAGTGGCAGCAAGATCACGCACGTGACTGTGTTCCAGGATCGCGCAGAGGTCACCCGCGAGATCCCGCTCAGTTTCGGAGCGCCACTCACCGCCAGCGATGGCACACGCGAGAAAAACGTGCGCCACCTCTTTCACCTGCGCGGGCTCTCCGCCAAGATTGGCAACGAGGCGTCTATCCGCGTCCGCGGCGTCGGCAACTTCACCATCGTGTCCATGGCCAGCTTTCACACGCCGGCCCAGACAAAGCTCTCCGAGGAAGAAGAGCGCAAGCTGGAGGAGGCAACCGGGGTCGTCAACACACCCAAGCCCCTGCACTCGGAGACGCAGAGCGAGCAGGCCGCCCGGCAGGAGCGCATCACCGAAGCCGAGCTCAAGCTGGAGGAGCTGCAGCAGCAGCAACAAGTCTTGGCAGATTCGCGGCACTTCATGTCCAGCTACGCCGCATGCGTGGTGTCGGGCAAGCTGGCGCACGCGGACGGCAGCGAGGCCATTTCGCAGCTCATGCTGCCTGACAGCGCGTTTGGCGTTGTTGACACGTGGCAGGAGCGCGCCAGCGCCCTTGTCACCCGCACCACCACCGTGAAGAAGGACGTGCTGGAGGCAGAGGCCGCGCTCAAGGAGCTCAAGGACGAACGCGACCGCCTGCAGGCAGAGCACGACAAGGCGGTGGCGGAGTGGCAGCGCAAGCACGACGAAGCCAAGGCTGTGGTGGATGGCCTGACAACCCGCCCGCTTGCCGCCCGCCGCGACGCCACTGTGGTCATCCTCCCAGGCGATGACGGCGATGATGGTGATAAGCACTGCCTCACAATGCAGGAAGATGACGATGATGATGATGATGAGGAAGAGAAGGAGGAAGAAGAAGAGCAGCAGCAGCCCAAGCTGATCCTGTCGTATGTGGTGTCTGGTGCAGAGTGGCAGCCGTGCTACGACCTGCGGGCCAACCTCGCCACCAACGACATTGAGCTCCACTACCACGGCAAGGTCATGCAGAACACAGACGAGGTGTGGAGCAACGTGCACCTCACCCTGTCCACGGCAAAGCCTGCTGTGGGTGGCCATCCGCCAACACTCAAGTCCGTCAACGTGCACGAGTACCGAGCACCACCGCGTCACAGCAGCGTGTATCGCGATACATTCAGCGCCAACTACTCGCTGGCTGAAGCTGAGAGCGCCGCACCCTCTGCTGTGGGTGGGATGGCGTCCGCCATGCGGAGGAAAGTTGGTGGCCGCCGTCGCTCTGCCGCTGCCCCGCCGTCACCAGCGCCTGTGGCAACAGCGAGTGTGTCGCAGGCGTCCACCAGCCTGGCCACGACCTTCACCATTGCCGGCCGCACGACTGTGACCAACACGAACAAGAGCCAGCGTGTTACGCTGGCCATCATCAACCTCAAGTCGCGCATGCGCTACTACTGCGTGCCGCGCCTGTCCGAGAGCGCGTACCTGCAGGCGTACTGCACCAACAACAGCGCCTACCCGTTCCTTCCCTCTGATGCAGTCAACGTGTTTGTCAACTCCAACCTCGTCACCACCACCAAGCTCAAACTGGTCGTGCCCGGCGAGTCGTTCTCTGCCTTCCTCGGGGTGGACTCTGGTGTGCGCGTGACATACAAGCCCGCGCCGCAGACAGACGCGGTTGTGCGAGGCCTGTTCTACGGAACCACCCGCAAGCAAGAGATGAAGGCGGCGTGCATCATCGAGAACCTCAACCCGCGGCCGCAGGTGGTGGTGGTCGCCGACACCCTGCCCACGTCGCAGCACAACAACATCAAGGTGAAGCTGGTGCAGCCAAGTCCCGACGAGGTGGAGGAGGACGATAGGCAGCAGGTCGACGACACGATGTGCGGTGGCGGTCTCACGGAAGCCGTGAGCGCAGCAACCAAGGGCGCGCCAAGTGTGGTGCGCAACAAGTACACGAACAACCTCATCTGGACGTGTTATCTGGAGAGCCGCAAGAAGGAGGAGCTCAACCTCGAATATGTCATCGAATACCCGCAAAGCATGTCCATTGAAATGTCATGAAGCGCACCGTTGTTGCTGCTGCGGTGGTGGTGGCTTACCATGTGCTGTGTGTGGATTGTTGTGATGTCTTGCTGTGTTGCATTGTTGGGTCGTGGTGTTGTACCGTGTTGGGTCGTTGCGTCGCTTGTGTTTGACTTTTGGAGTGCTCTTTGGGTTCTGTTTGGTTTGGTCGCTCATCCCCCGTGCCTTGCCCACGTCACACGTGCTGGCGTGCTTCTTCTGACTTGTGTCTGTCGTCTAATGTGTCTACAAGTGGCCTTAACGCGAACTGAAATTGAACAACTGGGTGATGCAATTGAAACGACGCATGTGGCATGAAATGGGGAAACAAAAACACAGCCTTGCACCCACTCACACGCACACTCTCGCATCCTAACTTTGAACAAACATTGACTGCAATGTACAACAAAGCATAGAAAAAGGAAAGAAGTATGCACACTTTGTCAAGATGCATGACAACGGGTGCTTGCCATGCCCACTGCACACACACACTCTCTCTTTCTCTCACTCTTCTGTCAACTCTCACTCTTTCTCGCTTATTAACCGCTCACACACACATACACACTCACACGCACTCTCTCACACATGCCTACACACACACACACACACACACACACACACACACACACACACACACACACACAATCTCACACAAACACACTTATACACCATTGCGACCATGGCCGCTGCGTCACGGCGCGATACCGCGCTTTGCCATCTGCACTTCGAGTTGCAGGTCCTTGATGGTCTGATCGCGCGTTGCAAGTGCCTCCTCTACCGCCTTCTTCAGGTCTGCCAGCTCCTTCTCGTGCTCGTGCTTCAGCCGCGTTGCCTCCATGTTCCCCTGCTGCTTCGCCTCCAAGAGCTCCATCTCAAGCTCGTGTATCCGTTTGCGTTGTTCCATGTCCTTTGCATCAAACTCCTTCTGAAGTCTTGCCTGGATCCCATCCCGCTGCTGCGTCACCTTCTCCACCTGCGCCTGCAGCTCTTCAATCTTCCTTGCTGCCGCTGTCTCTGCCTCATCCGTGCTCGTTGCAGCATTTGCCAATTGCGCCTCCAGCTCCTCGTTGCGCTCCTGCGTCTCCTTCAAGCTCTCCTTCAGCTTCGCCAGCCGCTCGTTGTACTGTTGTGGTAGGTGAGCATGCATGAGCACGTGTGTGTGTGTGTGTGTGTGTGTGTGTGTGTGTGTGTGTGAGTGAGTGTGTGTGTGTGTGTGTGTGTGTGTGTGTGAGCGAGAACAGAAAACAGAGTGTGCATGCACATCATACGAGATCACATGTCTGCTCGCATTCGTTACCGCACGCGAGAGCACTCGACTTCTCAAGCGCACGCGCAAAGCAGCACGCTGTATACATGTACAGCACTGCGCGCGCACCGAGGCCTCGAGGTTTGCGTGTGTCGTGGCCATTTCGTCTTCGAGACGTGAGATGACGCGTTCAATCTCCTGATCCCGCTCCTCCCGCAGCTTCTCCTTCGCCGCAGCAAGCTGTGGGCAGTTTTGTGTGTGTGTGTGTGTGTGTGTGTGTGTGTGTGTGTGTGTGTGTGTGTGTGTGTGTGTGTGTGTGTGTGTGTGTGTGTGTGTGTGTGTGTGTGTGTGTGTGTGTGTGTACATGTGTTGTGGATGGTAGGTGTGTGAGAGTCAGTCGGAGTGTAAGGGGAGGGGGTAAAGTTGGCGCGTCACATACACGCATGCGCTCGCACGCACACACATATGCACACACGTGCTGCTGTGCAGCGCACCTCGACTTCGGCCTGTAGCCGTTTTCGCTCCTCTTCCAGTGTCTCCCTGCACGTTTCCTCCGTCGACTCAAGCTGTCGCTTGAACTTGATGCGCTGAATGCCCCGCACACAAACACACACACATAGACACACACACACACACGTGCACATTTGAGTGAGGGGAGCAAAACACTCTCAGGGAGTTGGGAAATCGAGAGACCACCGACAACCACTCTCAAATCAGCACTGCTCACATGCATGTAAACACGCGAACCTGTCCATAAATTTTCATAGACACGCAAGCACATAGACATGCGTGCAAGCACAAACTGACCTGTTGCTGCAAGTCCTCTTCCAAGGACTCGATTTGCTTGCGGTAGAATGATTTGGTTGAAGCAATCTGGTCTGCAATTTCGCGCTGCTTGTCCGCTTCAATCTCAAGCTGGAGCTCCTGACGCAATCTGTACACGTGTGCACGGCGCAGGGCAGTGCAGTGCGTGGCAGGGAACAGCACGAGGCCGAACGTTGAGAAGTGGGAGACCGGCAACAACCGAGCAGGCAATCATCGCCTTCCATGTTTCATCACCACTGCCGCATGCGTCCTTGCTTTCATCATCATGGTCGTCATCACCTTTGGCGAATTGCGTCATCGCGGTTGGAAGCGGATGAGAGCTCACGCTCGTGCTGCGCGTTCAACTCCTCAATCTGACGAAACCATACGACACACAATGGAGTCAGCCCACAAGAGCATGAACATTCAACACGAGACGTGGTCGATTCTCGCTCACACACACACACACACACACACAAACAAACAAACAAACAAACAAACAAACAAACAAACAAACAAACAAACAAACAAACAAACAAACAAACAAACAAACAAACAAACAAGCCCTAATTGACAGCCCCTGCTCCTCCCTCTCTTGCACGACTGACCTCCTTCTTGTGTGCCTCAATGAGGCGTTGTATCTCTGGTTCGAGTCCGCGAATGGTGGCTTCCTTGATGCGCTTCTTCTGCGCTGCCATCCACTTTGCTCGCTTGGCGCTCTCCGCTTTCATCAGCCGCTACAACAGCACGTGCAAGGTGGAGGGAGTGGTGCATGCATGCGTGTGAGGAAGAAGTGGAGGTGCAGATGGACAGAGGTCGGGATGAGCAGACAGCAAGACGGCGTGTGCGCGCAAACTGTTGGATGTGAGTGCAGCCTGTGCTTGCTTGCTTGCATACATGTGCGTGTGCACGATGTGAGCCTCTGCTCGTGCAGGTGGGAAGGACCAAGCAGCACTCACCTCTCCCAGAGACCGCAGTTCGGTTTCATGCTTGTGCTTCATGGTCTTGAGTCTGTGGCGCCAACAACGTGGTGTGTGCACCCAAAAACATGGTGAGAGCGTGAAGACAGACATGGCACGGTCAAGCTAACAGCAACAACAACAACTTAAACAACAACAACAGCAGCAGCAGCAGCAACAGATTAAACAGCAACAACTTAAACAGCAACAACTTAAACAGCAACAACTTAAACAGCAACAACTTAAACAGCAACAACGTACCGCGCATACAACATACACACATACACACGCACAAGCCAAACACGCACGCACACGTACACACAAAACAAAACAGAGTAAAGTACACGACAGCAAGCGCGCACTGGGGGCGTACTTTGTTTCTGATTTCTTGGCAATGTCTTCAACTGCACTTGCCAGCTTCTGGCACTGGTCCGTGAGCTCTTGCTTCTCCTCAATCAGCTTGTCGATAAACGCCAGATGCCGCTGTATCGTGCGCTCATAGTCCTCGTGCGGTCTTGCAATGGGCTGCACGTCCATTCAGGGGAGGGGACAAACACCGCAACAACGGTGAGGTGGTGTTGCACGACAACGTCAAGAGTAGACACTTACGAGTCCACACACTTGCAAGGGAGGCCACGGCACGCACAACAAGCACACAACAACACAAGTAAGACACGTGTCCAACATACACACTCGCGTGCGCACACACACACACACTCGCAAAAACACACACACACACACACACACACACCACGCTCGCACACACAAACACACACGCCTTGACGAGCCAACCTTGCGCGTAGGACTGTTCCTGAGGTCTGAATCACGAAGCAATCTTCGAATCTCCTCGGAGAGGGGCACGGCCGTCTCGCTTTCACCAACTTGCTTTGCAGAGGCTCTCGCCAACCCCTGCTCTGCTGTGGAGGCTGCTGCTGTAGCGACGGTCGGCGCAGGCTTTGCCTTCGCTGCTGCAGTCGGTCTTGATTTCGCTGAGGCCATCTTCGCAACTGCTGATGCTGTTGATCGGTTCGCTTCCTTGGTTGCTGCAGTAGAGCGTGGTCGCTCGTGTTGTCGTGATTGGCTGGTGCCTCTGCCGTTCGTTCGGTGCGTGGCATCAAGCTTGGGCGCAGCACCGTACCGTCGGTTGCTGACTGTCGCGCTAGTGCCAACACGACCAGCATGCACGCTGCCCTTGTGGTCAGTGGTACCCTTGTCACTGGATGTCCGCGCATGCAACCTGCTCGCGTGGTTGTCGTCGTCCTCAGCAATTCCATACTCAACAGCACCAACAGCGTCGTCATCATCGTAGTCACCATCGTCATCATACTCATCATAGTCAACATCATCATGACAGCCATGACCACCACCTCCACTGTTGCCACTGTTGTTGTTGTTGTTGGTGGTGTTGTTGTTATTGTCGTCGTCAGCAAGAAGGGCCTCCAACGAGTCGCGAATGTCTGCCCCAGTGTCAAACCTCACACGTTGCGTTCTCTTTCGTGCTTGTGCTGCGTTTCCTCTTCCCTCTTCCTCGGCATCGTCCGAAGGTGCTTGCTTGTCTTGGTGTGGCTGCTGCTGGAGCTGAGCCATGATGTCTGCTGCGGTACTTGTGCCATATGGCTGCTCATGAGAGGTGCGTGCACTGGGCTTTCTGCCAGCCTTATCACCCTGTGAGCTGCTGCCATTCGAAGACGCTCGTGAATCATCAGGGTCTGCCGTCGCTGCTGTTCGTTCCCGTCGCCTGCGGGCCGCAGCCTTCATGCGCTGCAGCCGCTCCTCGCTCAGCATCGTTGTTGTTCGTTGTTGTGGTGGTTGGTTGCCCTGCGTTGAATTTGGCTAGAATATCTGCTGGTGCAATGGTCAATTTTCCCAACTTGAGGGTGGATGCGCGACGATGGACACAGACCAACAGCAGCAACAGCAGCAACAGCAACAGCAGCAGCAGCAGCAACAACAAGATGCGCCGAGCTATGACCGCATGAGCGAGGAAGAGCGAAGGTTTCACGCAGAGCTGGAGTTTGTACAGGCGCTGGCAAACCCTAGATACCTCTCATGTGAGCTTGTATGTGTGTGTATTGTGTTTGCGTGTGTGTTGTGTTTGTGTGCGTGTGTGTATTGTGCCGTTTTTGTGTATTGCGTTTGCCTCTATGTGTGTGTATTGTGTCGTGTTTGTGTCATCTCTTTCTGTGTTGTGTCGCTTATGTTTCTCACTTTCTTCTGTCTCGCGTACACTCGCAGTCTTGGCGCAGCGTGAGTTCCTCGAGGACACGCGGCTCATCAACTACCTCAAGTATCTGCTGTACTGGAAACAGCCACAGTACGCCCAGTACCTCAAGTGAGTTGACGCTGTGATCTTGTGTGCGTCCATCCCACTTGTTTTCCTTGCGTGCCCCACTCCATGCATGTGATGTTGGCAGTGTCGTTGAGCTTACTTCGCTGCCATGCGCGTGCCGCAACAGATATCCACAGTGCCTGTATTTCTTGGAGCTGTTGCAGAAACCCACATTTAGGAAAGAGCTCGCAACGGCAGAGTATGCCGGCTACGTGGAGAACCAGCAGCTCTTGCATTGGCTCCACTATACAAACAATCGCACTCAACCGCCTCAAGCCACTGTTTCTGAAGAGCAAGAGTCAACGTCACAGTGAGCGTTGCGTTCTGTGTGAACAAACTGTGGCTGTGTTTCCGCGTGTGTGATTGTGTATGATTGTGTGTGTGTGTGTGTTTCCGCGTGTGTGATTGTGTGTGCATGTGTGTGCATGTGTGTGTGTTTCCGCGTGTGTGATTGTGTGTGCATGTGTGTGCATGTGTATGTGTGTGTGTGTGTGTACGACTGTGGTCGTGTTCCTGACCGTTCGTGTATGTGTGTGTGTGTGCTTATGTCCTTGAATGAAGGACACAGCACTTTCACATTGTGTGCATGCTTCATCACGAGCAGCCTCCATGTCCAACATTTGTTTGCTTCATGTGCTTTAAGTATTCGACTCCAATAATGAACCAGTAGCACGGAATGAACCAGCATGAGCACTTGTACAGCACAACATCGCAGCAAGCAAGCAAATGCTACATGGTAAGGAGGGCAGGGCGTGCAAACGAAGCGAGAGAAGACAACCAAAGCAGGCAAAACCAGGACACTGCTACTGATGCACTTAAGAAAACCGCAATCAACAGCACAAAACGTGACGTGTCTGACGGGTACTGTTGTCCATCTTGCATTCAGTGTTCGTTTGAGCTCAATGATATCTTGCTGCTGGAGCGTTGCCTCTGTGGAGAATGAAGGTACATGTGGGTGTGAAAGTGTTATTGTGTGTATGTGTGTGTGCGCGTGTGTGTGTGTGTGTGCGTGTGAGGACAGGAAACGAGACTGCCTAGACTTGGAGCACTGACAGATACATGGCCCGCAAAACAGAGTCTCGAGCGAATCGTACCGCCATGACGCGGATGATGGCGACGTGATCAATCTCATATGTGTAGCTGTCAACGGCGCACAAGGAATGTGAGCGAAAACATCGCGACACATATGTACACACACACACACACACACACAAGCTGGGTGTGAAAAGGAGCCAGCACATGGGCACGTGCGCAACAACGACAATGGACAGGCAGTTATGTGTGTGTGTGTGTGTGTGTGTGTGTGTGTGTGTGTGTGTTCTCACTGTTTGCCCGTGTCGTAGATGACGCCGTCACTGCGAACGAGGAGAAGCGGCACCGTCTGAACCAAGTGGCGATATGATGTGATGTGATGGCGGGGGCGGTTGCAACAGAAGGTGTGAACGAAGGCGGTAACAGGCACAAGGACACATACACCAATCCAAACACACACACACACACACACACACACACACACACATACGCACACACACACACACACACATACGCACACACACACATGCACTGACGCCTCGCACTCATTCAATTCCACTTCACAACTCCCACATACCGCCTCCTCTTCCTCCCTGCACTGCGCACCGTTGGTGTTCTGCAGATGCCATCGGGGGCATCTGGGCGGATCTTGTCGAACGACGGCCGGTGGCACAGGACAAGCTCTTCGCAGCGGTAAAACGTCTCCGCGGGGACAGTGCCAAACCACACCGTCAAGTGCGTGCTGAAGTTCTCTCCATACAACTCAACCATCTCATTCAGCGACTGCACGCCGTTGAGAAGAAGGTGTGTGTGTGTGTGAGTGTGTGGGCGTGAGTAAGTGTGTGTGTGTGTGTGTGAGTGAGTGAGTAAGTGTGAGTGTGTGTGTGAGTGTGTGCGTATGAGTACTTGAGGATGTCGGAGGTTATGGGTTGATTTGGCCACAGCGCACGAGTGCAATTCATGAAAAACAAGCCATGTGCGTGCAGCAAGCGCGTGTGTCTGTTACATCTGTGCGTCTGTGTGGCTCGCCGTACCTTGACGGTGCTGACGATGGGAACGGGGTTGACGGGCGCCGCCGTCACATCCGGACGAGGCGGTTCACAGAACGAAAACGTCACCCGATCTGCACGCATGCAATCCGCATGGTCCGACGACGAATGTGAACCCAAGGGAGGCGGGTGTCAACATGGAAGCGAACGTGAGGGTCAATATGAATCTGTGCGTCCAAAACTCTCCTCCTCCTCCTCCTCCTCCCCCCCCTCCTCCTTCCGCTTCACCACCACCATAGCCGTCATCACCAGCAGCATCTTCACCCGCTCCCCAGCGCACCGCATGAGGTGACGGTCCAGAGCGAGGCGTCCGTGAGCTGCTGTGCGCCACTGGCCAGCGCCTTTGGGCTGCGGTAGCCAACCTTCCCGTCCTCGACCATCGTCACAAACCCGCGAGCACCTTCCGTTGCTTGGAACGCAACCTAGCAGCAGGCACGCACGTGTGCACATGTGTTAGGAAGGGGCACGCGCATTGGGCGCAAGACATGGCACACTCAACCACACGCAAGCACAACCAACCACACGCAAGCACACACACACGCACACACACACCACGCACACACGCACACCAAGCGCACCCAACTACACACACACACGCACACACACACACACACACATCCGCGCATGGCAGTGGGACCGTGGTGTTGCTTGCATCACGCACCTTCTGCAGTTGGCTGACGGGGTCGTTGT